GTCAGCAGTTCGAAACTACCAACTGCTCCGCAGGAGAAGGATGAGGCTTTCTGCTCCCGTAAAGATTTACAGCCTCAGAAACCCTGTGCAGGGTCGCTATGAGTCGGAACCGACTCCACGGCTCATAACCACCACCACCACCAGGTAATTCCAGACCTATACTCAAGTGTGGAAACACTGCTCTGGAGTAATTACAAATGTCAAAATACTTTGTCTTATGGCTTCTACAGATTAACAAAACGTTGCAGAAATTTCTTTTTGGCATCAAAATTGTACATAGTACCTGAAGGAGTACAAAAGTCCTTAGCTTACTTTTCTGTTTTTAATATGATTACTTTAACTTTATGACAATGTCTCTATGATGATGGAATATGATGTACCTGCACAGTCCAATACAGAAAGTCACGGGCTACATGTGACTGCTGAGCATTTTAGATGCTGCTAGTGTGAAGAAAAAGCTGCTTCTTTTATTTATCTTAATTAACTTATACACTCATGCAAGGTTCATGGTTACCATGCTAGATAGTGCAGCTCTAAAGAGCAAGACAGTAATGGTTCCTAAAATTCTCAGAACATACACTTTGTGCTGAAAGGAAAGAAAAGGAAGAAATTAGCAACTACTATATTAATCCTGTGCTGGGTACAGGGGTGGAAGGGTCACATGGGAGAGCAGCAGCAGCTTTGGGCTCAGACAGATTCGGGATTCAATGTGCCCTAACGGTAGCTGTCAGTTACTCACCCTTTCTAAGTCTTAGCAGCCTGTGAAATGGTGAGCGCTCAACCTACTCCCAAAGCCATTGAGAAGTTCAGAGAAAAGACAGCGAGAACATCTGGCAAAGCTGGACAGATGGTTATGCTCCTGAAAATAGTCCTCTCCTTCGAGGAATTTCCAAAATACAAAGGTAAGTGTCAGGAAAATAGTTTCAAGTGAACACAGAAGAGATATCTTTCCATATTACATAGACATGGGCCAAAGAAGTGAATGAATGATAGTTGTGGCTACTGTTCTGGTGAACAAGACTGTGGCGAGACATATCTAAACCTGGAAGATACTCAGGGATCTGGATGGGTAGAAGCAAGAGAGGACATGTCCTGACAGATGAGAGGAACAAACACAATACGAAAACCAAAAATAAGGCATCATTGGAATATTGATTCCAACAATTTGGTTGAAACAAAGAATTCAAGACATGAGGAAAAGGAGTATGACTAGGAGTACAGGTTCAGCGCAAACTCTAGAGGCCTAAAATGGCTACAGGGAGAGGCAGTACACAGGGCTGGCTGAGCTAGATGCTGGAAGCAGAAGCAAACTTTCATTTAAACCTGTTTTACTAACTGTGTGACCTTGGAAAGATCTCTTGTGTAATATGAATAACGACACTACCCACCTCAAAGGGTTGTTGTGAGGACCTAGCCCCTGTTAAGTGCTCAACTGATAATGGGTATTATTGAGGAGTTTACAGACTTTCACCTATAGCAAGAATTAACTTTTTTCTGTCTCAGAGTTCACTGATAATCTGGTAAACGCTATCTATGGACTCTGCCAGGAAAGATACTTGTGATAGGCACACAAAATTTTGCCTCTATTTCAGATCATTTACAGACCAACTCAAGTCCGTTCTATAGACTACCCTCTAAAATTTCAGGGGTCCTACATTAAGAACCCATTTTAGAGTCAAAAGGAGCTCACTGATAGAGAGCTGGTAGCATAGTGGTTATGAATAGGGCTGTTATCCTCAGGGTCAGCCATTCGAAACTACCAGCTGTTCCAAGGGAGAATGATGAGGCTTTCTGCTCCCGAAAAGATTTACAACCTCGGATACCTTGTACAGGGTCACTGAGTTGGAACCGACTCCACGGCACATAACCACCACCACCATGTGGCAAGAGTGCTGACACGGACAGGTAGTTAGGAAAATCATAACTGGAATAGGGAAGTCCCGTATCAGACTGTGTCCACAACATTCAGGCAAAGTAGGCCCAACCCCACAAAGAAGTGTCAAGTGCTAGGCCAAGTTTGGCTTCTTCTGACAATACAGTCAGCCTTTTGGTGAGGGACAAGGACAATGAAGTAACCAACGTTGTCCTCTCTCCCCTTTCTTAGTGCTAAACTCTCGTATTTCCTTGATTCTTTTACTTTTATGTCTATTTCTTAAATATATGCACTTTTGTGGACTAATTCAGAAAATACATAAGAATGGGGAGGATGAGAATAAAAGCTAAGAATAACAAAATGACAATAAACCAAAACCAAACCCACTGCCACTGAGTTGATTCTGACTCACAGTGACCCTATACAGTTTCTGACTGTAAATCTTTATGGGAGCAGGCAGCCTTTTTCTCCTGCTGGTGGATTTGAACCCCTGACCTTGTGGTTACCAGGGGACCTTAAAAAACAAACAGAAAAAACATACCATTTATTGTAGTCTAGGGACTGTACAGAGTGCTGATGTGGAGCTGTAGGATAAGCACTGGAATACTAACTACAAGGTTGGCAGTTCAAACTCACCAGTCACTCCTTAGAAAGTTTACATAGGGTTGCTATGAGTTGGAACTAACTCGATGGCATGTTCTACCAACAATAAGGACTTTAAGGAGTAAATACATGACATACATTAGCATCCCACAGTAACCTGGACATGTAAGAGACTCACATACTAGGAAGTCGGGCATCTCTACCAGCAGCTGCAGGAAGAGCCATTACCCCAACAACCATGTCCCAGGCAGTGCATCCCAATGTGCCATCACTGACATTTCATGAACTAAGTGTTTGTGAGTGACTGAAAGATTCCTTGTCTGTTACTTTTTTCCTCTGGAGATGGGAGGTAGAGGAAGCAGTTAAAGGAAGTAAAAGGGTCTGGGGTTAGTATTCGTTCTTCAAAGGGAGGAAATACAGTTTAAACTTCAGATGCTCCCAAAGAGAAATGATATACCTCTTTACTAGCAAAGACTCTCTCTCTCTCTTCTTTCTTTCTTCCTTTCTCTTTCCTTTCCTTCCTTCCTTCCTTCCTTCCTCCCTCCCTCTCTCTCTCTCTTTCCTTCCTTCCTATCTTTCTCTTTCCTTCCTATCTATCTATCTATCTATCTATCTATCTATCTATCTATCTATCTATCTATCTATCTATCATCTATCTATCTATCAATCATCTATCTAATCTAATCTATGTGGCTACAACATATACCAGAGGGTAGAAATAAATTAGGCTCCAGGAGAAAAGGAAAGTCTAATTCATACACATTTGCAGTAGAGACCCTGGCTGTCTTCTGGAAGACCAATACGGTCCCACTCTGTAGACTACCCCAGTACTGATCTGTCACAGGGACAGAGGAGCAGGAAGCAGGGGGGGATACGACCAGGAATGCCAAATGGCATCATAAAGGTTAGCACAGCTCCACCTAATAAGGTTTCTCTATTCAACTTGGGAATGGGAAGGTTACACAGGTTAACCTTTTCCAAGACGTCTCAGACTTCTTAGAGTGTAACAGGCATCCTAAAAATATTGTTGTTGTTGTTAAGTGCTGTGGAGTCCGTTCCGATTCATAGCAACCCTGCACAGGGTTTCCGAGGCTGTAAATCTTTACAGGAGCAGTAAGCCTCATCTTTCTCCCATGGAACAGCTGATAGTTTCGAATTGCTGACCCTGAGGTTAGCAGCCTAACTTCTGACTTCTACAGCATTCATGGAAGGAAGTTTTTCAGTTTCTAATTGAAAACTGGCAGAGATTGCATTTACTCCTTCCATTTCAGCACCAAGCCCACCACCCATCCACTGCTGTTGAGATGATTCTGACTCACAGCAACCCTATAGGATAAAGTAGGACTACTCTACCGAGTTCTCAAGATTCTCAATCTTTACAGGAGCAGCCTCATCTTTGCAGCTAATGGGTTTGAACTGCTGGCCTGCGGCTGACACTGCAACATTTAACCCACTATGCCAACAGGGTCCCTTTCATAAACAAAAGCCTCTCAAGATTTCTTAAAAGTAGGTTCTGTAGCTTTCCCCAGGATTGAATCATAAACCACATCCAGGGAAGTCATGTGTATCTCTACAGGAAATGAAGGAGTCTTTCAGGGACTTACTATCCACCACCTAACTCTTAACTTTCCCACTCAAATCCACAGGTCCACACTCCCCCAGGCCTAACTCCTTTATCAAGCCAGATAATAGCTCCTTGTTACTGCTGGAAGCACATGCATGTAGCAATAACTGCAGCTGGCTCTTACCTGGGGGCTGTGCCTCTGGATACTGAACTGGGGGTTGGCTGCGAAATGGTCACGATGTCTTCATCTCCTCCGTCCTCATAAAAGCTTGCTAGGGCGATCTGAAACAGAGGTAGCACCTTGGGATCCTTATACAGACCATCACCTAACATACAACTCCTGTGAGCACAAAGGACAAAATACACAGGCATAGCCCTCATTTATAAGGTAGTCATAGAAAATTAGACCAATAGTCAACAGCCCAATTATTACTAGTCTTCACATCAGCTGAAACAAACTTCACCCACTTAGAGGAAAAGAAAGCAAAAGAGAGATTTGGGACAGCAGAACCTTCCATTGCTCCCCCCCCCCCGGTAACGTAGTGGTTACAAGTCAGGCTGCCTACCTCAAGGTCAGCAGTTCGAAACTACCAGCGGTTCCATGGGAGAAAGATGAGGCACTCTGCTCCCGTAAAGATTTACAGCCTCGGAAACTCTGTGCAGCATCACTATGAGTCGGAACTGACCCCATGGTACTTAACAACAACAATTCTTTTTATGGAGTCCTGGTGTGGCACTGTGGGCTTATGTGTGAGACTGCAAAGTTATTTGAACTGCAAGGTCAGTGGTTCAAACTCACCAGTCGCTCCTTGGAAACCCTATACAGGGTCGCTATGGGTCGGAACCAACTCAACGGCACTTAACAACAACAATTCTTTTTATATGTAATGTAATCCAATTAAAAGAAGCTCTGGTAGCGTAGTGGTTATGAATCGGGCTGCTAACCTCAGGGTCAGGAGTTCAAAACTACCAGCTGTTCCACGGGAGAAAGATGAGGCTTTCTGCTCCTGTAAAGATTTACAGCCTCGGAAACCCTATATAGGGTCGCCATGAGTTGGAAAAGACTCCATGGCACATAACAACAACAAATAGTCCAATTAAAGAGTAAGCTCTGGTAGCGTAGTGGTTACGAATCGGGCTGCAAACCTCAAGGTCAGCAGTTTGAAACTACCAGCTGCTCTGCGGGAGAAAGATGAGGCGTTCTGCTCCCGTAAAGATTAACAGCCTTGGAAACCCTGTGCAGGGTCACTATGAGTTGGAACCGACTCCACGGCACATAACAACAACAACCTTTATTAAGCATATACTTATGTAACAGGATGTTCTGAATGCTTTACATGTACTAAATTCATTTAATCTTCACAGAACCCTACATGATTAGTACTATTACCATCTCATTTTAAAACCAATACAGATGCACTGAGAAGTGAGAAACTACTCAAAGTCACAGAGCTGATACGGAGTGGGGACAGAAATCTACCCTAGACAGTTTGCTTAGGGCCCTCACTCATACCTTCTGTTATTGTCACAAGTCAGGAACTATAGATCAGCCCAGGTTGCTACTTTTACTTTCTCTCTGAGGTCCAGTTTCTGAATCTGTGAAAACCAGACTCTAGTCCCAACAGCCTCCCATACTGGATGAGATGATATACACTAAGATTTACAGACAGCTATGCTTTAGTACCATCACTCGTTTATTAGTGTGTCATACTGTGGTGGCTTTTGTGTTGCTATGATCCTGGAAGCTATGGCCGCGGGTATTTAAAATACAAGCAGGGTCACCCACAGTGGACAGGTTGCAGCTGAGCTTCCAGAGTGGACAGTTTAGGAAAGACAGACTACTTCATTAAGAATCAGAACACAGGATGTATGAAGTATGAATCTAAGAAAATCAGAAGTTGTTAATAATGAAACAGAATGCATAAACCTCAATATCCTAGGCATTAATGAGCTGAAATGGGCTGGTATTGGCCATTTTGAATCTGACAATCACATGGTTTACTATGCCAGGAATGACAAATTCTACAGGAATGGTATCACATTCATCATCCAAAAGAACATATCAAGATCTGTCTTGAAATACAACTCTGTTTGTGATAAGATAATATCCATATAATTACAAGGTAAACCAGTTACTACTATTATTATTTAAATTTACGTACCACCCACTAAGCAAGTGATGATGAAACTGAAGAATTCTACCAACTTCTTTGGGAATCCTGGTGTGGCACTGAATGTTAATGCACTGGATTGTAAAGTCGGTTGAACTGCAAGGTTCAAACTCACCAGTCGCTCCTTGGAAACCCTATATAGGCTCGATAGGAGTTGGAACAGACTTGGCGGCACTTAACAACAACCAACTTCTTCAGTCTGAAAGTGATCAAACATGCAATCAAGATGTATTTATAATTAATGATTGGAATGCAAAGGTGGGAAATAAAAAAGTATCAGTAGTTGGAAAATATGGCTGTGGTGACAGAAACGATACTGGAGATTGTATGATAGAATTTTGCAAGACCAATGACTGCTTCATTGCAAATACCTTTTTAAAATAACACAAAAGACTACAAACATAGACCTCATCAGATAGAATACACAAAAATCAAATTGATTACATCTGTGGAAAGAGATGGCAGATAAGCTCTATATCAGCCGAAACAAGGCCAGGGGCTGACTGTAGAACAGACCATCAATTGTCCATATGCAAGTTCAGACTGAAGCTGAAGAACAAGAAAGCAAAAGGTAATTAAGAAGACAAGAAAGAAGGAAAAGACCAAAATGGATGTCAGAAGAGACTCTGAAACTTGCTTTCCAGCATGGAGATGCTAAAGTAAATGGAAGAAGTGAGGAAGACCAAGAGCTGAACAGAAAATTTCAAAGGTCAGCTCGAGAAGAAAAAGTCAATTATAACAAAATGTGCAAAGACCTGGAGTTAAAAAACCAAAGGGGAAGAACATGCTCAGCATTTCTCAAGCTGAGGGAACTGAAAAAAAAAAACAAAACAAACAAAAACAAAACCTTATAGCCTCATCTAAGTAAGGATTCTATGAGCAAAGTATTGAAAATGATGCACAAAGCATCAAGAGGATGGAAGGAATACAGTCACTGTACCAAAAAGAAATGGTCAATGTTCAGCCATTTCAAGAGGTAGAATATGATGAAGAACTTATGGTACTGAAGCAAGAAGTCCAAGGTACACTGAAGGCATTGGCAAAAAAACAAGGCTCCAGGAACTAATGGAATACAAATTGAAATCTTTCAACAAACCAATGCGGCACTGGAGGCACTCATTCATCTATGCCAAAAAATTTGAAAGACAACAATCTGGCCAACTGACTGGAAGTACTTATGCCCATTCCAGAGAGGTGACCCAATGGAATGCTTGAATTTTTTCTTTAGTTCCCTCAGCTTGAGAAATGCTGAGTGTGTTCACCCTTTTGGATTCCTAACTCCAGGAATTTGCATATTTTGTTATATTTGACTTTGTCTTCTCGAACTGACCTTTGAAATTTTCTGTTCAGCAATTATTCCTCCTCACTTCTTCCATCTGCTTTAGCATCTCTTCGCCGGAGAGTAAGTTTCAGTGTCTCTTCTAACATCCATTGCGGCTTTTTCCTTCTTTCTTGTCTTCTTAATGTTCTTTTGTTTTTTTTCCTGTATGATGTTCTTGATGTCATTCCACAATTCTTCTGGTTTTTGGTCTTAAATGTCTAATGCATCATATCTGTTCTTCAGATGCTCATTGATATCACATGCAAGTAAAATTTTACTAAAAACAATACAAAAATGGCTGCAACCATACATTGACAGAGAACTTCCAGAAGTCCAAGCCAAATTCAGAAGAGGCCGTGGAGTGAGGAATATCACTGCTGACTTCAGATAGATCTTGGCTGAGAGCAGAGAATGCCAGAAAGATGTTTACCTGTGCTTTATTGAATACGCAAAAGCTTTCAATTGTGTGGATCATGACAAATTATGGATAACACTGTGAAGTATGATTATTCTGCAACACTATAATTGTGCTCACGAGGAACCTATGCATAAACCAAGAGGCAGATGTTTGAATAGAACAAGGGGAATGAACTGTTTAAAATTAGGAAATGTGTGTGCCAAGGTTGTGTTCTTTCACCATACGTATCCAATCTGTATGCTGAGCAAATAATCCAAGAAGCTGGGTTATATGAAAAACAACTTGGCATTAGGATTTGAGGAAGACTCATTAACAACCTGCGATATGCAGATAATACAACTTTGTTGGCTGAAAGTGAGGAGGACTTAAAATACTTACTGCAGATCAAAGACCACAGCCCTCGGTATGGGCTGCACACCTCAATATACAGAAAACAAAAATTCTCACCACGGGACCAATAAATAACATCCATATAAATAAAAGACTGAAGCAGTCAAAGACTTCACTTTGCTCGGATCAACCATCAACACTCATGGAAGCAGCAGCTAAGAAATCAAACGATGTATTGTATTGGGCAAATTGGTAGCACAAGACCTCTTTAAAGTGTTGAAGAGTGAAGATGTCAGTTTGAGGACTAGGATGCACCTGATTCACTCAAGCCACGGTATTTTCAACAATCTCATATGCATGTGAATGTTGGACAGTGAGTATGGAAGACTGTAGAATTGATGCATTTGAGTTATGGTGTTGGAGAATACTGGAAGTGCCACGGACTGTCATGTACTGTGTTGGAAGAAGTACAGCCAAGAGTGCTCCTTGGAAGCCAGGATGGCCAGACTTCATCTCTCATACTTTGGACATATTATCAGAAGGGACCAGTCCCTGTCTGGTAAAGTGGAGGGTCAGAGAAAAAGAGGAAGACCCCAATGCGATGGGTTGGCAGAATGGCAGCAGCAATGGGCTGGGATGTATCAATGATTGTGGGGTTGGTGCAGGAACAGGCAGTGCTTCGTTCTGTTGTGCAGAGAGTAGCTATGAGTTTGTATTGACTCAATGGCACCTAACAACAATATGCCTTAGTAAAAATCACTGTTGTTATTAAATGCTGTTGAGTCAATTCCAAATCAGTTACCCTGTTTAGGGTTTCCGAGAAGCGGATGGTGAGTTTGAACTGCCGGTCTTGTGATTCAAACCCACCTTTCAGTTCAGTGCGTACCCTACAGCACCACACCAGACTCCTTTGGTAACAACGTTGTTTTTGTTAAGTGCTGTTGAGTTGGTTCCAACTCATAGCGACCCTGTCTAGGGTTTCCAAGGAACTGGTGAGTTTGAACCACTGACTAGTGCTTTATTCCACAGCACCATATCAGGACTCCTGTATTAGGAAGAATTTGTTGTTGTTATGTGCCGTGGTTCCGACTCACAGCAACCCTGTACAGGACTTCTGAGGCTGTAAATCTTTAACGGGAGCAGAAAACCTCATCTTGCTCCTGCGGAACAGCTGGAAGTTTCAAACTGCTGACCTTGAGGTTAGCAGTCCGATTCGTAACCACTACGCGACCAGAGACACTGAGGTCTAAAGAGAAGAAGTCCTGGTGTGGCACTGTGGGTTAATGCATCAGACTGCAAAACCGTCTGAACTGCAAGGTCAGCGGTTCAAGCTCACAGCTTCTCCTCGGAAACCCTATACAGGGTCACTATGGACTCGGCAGCACTTAACAACAACAAAGAGAAGACAGTTGTGATTTTGTTCTCCAGGTCATCAGTTGGTTGGGAAGCAGTGTACTGTTGTGGGATACAACCAGTCACTGAGAGACAGTGTGCTACACTGAACTGGGACTCAGGGACTTACATTCAAGTTCTGGTCCTGCCAGGCAAGTCGTGTCATCTGCATGCACCTCACGTACCCCATCGATAAAAAGTAAGACCAGACTGTGTGCTTTTAGATCTTTCAGGAAGAAGCCTTGTTTTGTAACTGTGCCCAGCACATGGGGCTTCACACTTACTGTACAGGGTGATGCCTTACTGAACTCTTCCGTTTGCAAAACAATGTAGAATGGTGGCGTCTGAAGGCTCCACTCAAAACCTGAACCCACTGCTGGCTGTATAACCTTGGGTGTATCTTTTGTCTTCTGAGCTTTTAATTCCTCATCTTTAAAATGGACAAATCTCTACTTCAGTGTTATTAGTATGAAATGAATCATTTATGCAAAGTGTCTGACACATGACAGTTAAGAGCTTGGGCTCTGGAACTGAGTTCAAATTCTACTCCTCCAATGGGAGGCCCTGAGTAAGGTACTTAAGCTACTAAATGTAAAGGTTAAATGCCATAATCCACTTAAAAGTCTGGCTTACATTCAGTAAATATCAGTCATCATCTTCATCACGTACCGAAGACGAGGCTGGCCAAGAACATTTATGCAATTCTTTTTACAATTGGTTATATAGTATCTATTAATAGGCCAGGCATTGTTTTGTTAAGTGCTGGCGAGTCGGTTCTGACTGATAGCGACCCTGAACCGCTGTTCCAACCGAACCGACTTCACAGTCCAGCGCATTAACCCACAGCGCCACACCAGGACTCCAGGTATTGTTTTAGCCACGGGAGTTAAGCAGAGCACAAAATCCCTTACCTCATGGAGCTTATGGGTTAATGTGCTGGATTGTAAAGTTGTTTGAACTGCAAGGTCAGCGGTTCAGGCTCAACAACCGCTCCTTGGAAATTCTACATAGGGTCACTATGGGTCGGAACCGACTCGACGACACATAACAACAACAATCATCCAATAAGTACTTAAAATGGTTTTAGCACTAGTCAACGAACTAGACGGTACACAACATGATACCCATTTTACAAATGAGTTAACGAAGGTGAAAAGGCTCCTTCCGTCCAACCCAGGGGCAGTTACTACCAGCACTTAGGTAGAAGGGAGCGTGGGCCAACTCCTGGGCCCTGCTTTTCCTTCCAACAGTATCCAGCCCCGACTCGGTGGGCAGCCATAAGGCACCCCTCTCCACGCCGGCCGCAGGAGTGCTTAAAGCTAACCCTTAAGAGCGGGCGAGGCAGATGGGGAAACTGAGACTCGGAAAAGCACAAAGGAACCAGGACTGGCCCGCGTTCCCGCACGCATGGATCCGGTGGGCGAGATAAGCAGTCCCGGGACAGAGCCGCGGCCGGAGCTCGGGCCGCAGTCGAGCTGGGATGACTGTGCGCTTCGGCGGCCGCTGGATTGCCGCACCCAGTACGTACGCCCCGGAGCCCCCAGGCGGCCCGACACGGCCCATCTCCCGACACTACCTGCAGGTCCCAGCCGGCCGACTCGAGATAGAAGCGGGCCCTGTCCTCCTCGGCGCCCGTCACCGCCACGAACTCCCTCAGCGCATCCTGTCGCTCCGCCGCCATCTTTGTCCTGTGCACTGCCTAAACCGCTCCGGCCACCGCTGCGCAAACCCACTCCTGCCGGCTGGTTCCGCCCGCCGGTCGGTGCGGTCTAACCACTCGGAGACCCCCGCAGGCCCCGCCCCGCACGGTGTCCAATGCAAAGCCCTCCGTGCGGGAAACCCTGCCGCTCTTTGCCCTCTGTCGGCTAAGGCTCGGATTTACAATCTACTGGCGGGGGAAGAAGGAAAAGTGGTGAAAAGTGAGTGAGATCTATCCATGCCTTATTGGGATTGTTGTTGTTAGGTGCCATCGAGTCGGTACCGACCCATAGCGACCTTATGCACAGCAGAACGAAACACTGCCCTATTGTTGGGATGAGGATCCCTAAAGGAGACAGATTCAGAATTATTCATCGACTCATTACGTTATTTGATTAGATAAATTTATTCATTCATTCTTTATTTACTCAAATATTAACTGAGTGTTAACAAGCTCCCTGTAATCTCCCAGGGTTGGGGATTGTTGTTGTTAAGTGCTATCGAGTCCGTTCCTACTCTTAGCAACTCTGTATAGCATTTCTGAGGCTGTAAATCTGCAGGAACAGAAAGCATCCTTCTTTTTCCCGGCTTAGTGGTGGTGGGCTTTAACAGCCGACTTTGTGGTTCGCAGTCCAGAGCTCCCCAGGATTGGGGATACGGCAGCGCAAAAAAAAATTCTTAGTTTTTGTCTTCATGTTGCACACATCCTAGTAGAAAAACAAACACACGGACAGACTTGGAACAGTACTCTGCTCAGAATTGTTCCATGGCTGTTCATCTCACTTGTGAAATAAATAAATGCGTGAAAATTGCCATCGATTTGCACCAATTTAGCCCCCCCCACCCCACTAGTTTACTGAGCTTCAGCTACACCAGTCTCCCACTGTTGCTCTTGGAAGGCGCCAGGCTTGCATCTGCCTCAGGACCTTTGCATTTGCTGCTCCCTTTGCCTGGAATACCCTTCCCTCCAGGATTCGCAAGGTGCTTCTTCACTTTCTTCAAGCCCGTGTTTCAAGGGTTCTACCTCAGGTACAATTCTGTCTTTCAGGTCCTCAGATTCTTTGTCTTTTTACCTCCTGCCACTCTACCTGGAATTCTCTTCCCTATGTTCCTCTTCATCCTGTGGGTTTAGATGTCGCTACTGAAGGAGGTCTTCCTGGGTCCTCAGGCTCAGTCAGGAAGTCCCCTGCACATATTCTGTGTGACATCATGTTAAATATTCACCTCCTAGATCCAGCCAGGGTCCCAGGAGCAGCATATGAACAATATGGTGTTCTGGTTAAGGGCCCAAGCCTAAACCTTACTGTTTATGGAGTCCTGGTGTGGTGCCGTGGGTTAATGTGCTAGACTGCAAAGTCGGTTTGAACTACAAGGTCAACAGTTCAAGTTCACTTGATGCTCCTCAGAAACCCTGTACAGGGCCACTATGGGTTACACTTAACAAGAACAACAACAACATATGACCTGGGGTAGGCCATCTCTGTAAACCTCAGCTTCCTGATCTGTAAAACAAGACTCCTAAAAGTATAGATGTTGCTGTAAACACTGGAGTGCTGACCACAGAGTCAGGGTTCAAACCCACCAGCCACTCCTCAGAAACCCTGTACTGGGTTGCAATGAGTTGGAACCATCTAGACTGATGACATTTAACAACAACAACAAAAGTATATATCTTAGAGGGAGCTGTGGGGATTCAACATAAAGTTCTGAGCACTGTCTGACACTTAGCAAATGTTCACCATTATTTTATCTCCCTTGAGTTGCCCAGTTACTGGCATTAACTATCGACTTAAGAGTATTTGTTGAATGAATTGGTGAGGGAATGAATGAAATATGAGATATATGTGCCTACAGGTGTGAAATACAGAGGTCGGTGTCTGAGGACAAGATTACAGGGAGGTACCTGGAATCATGAGTGGTGTTGGGCTGACTAGAGGAGGAGATCCAATTTCAAGTGTTCCATAAAACGGATGCTTTTGTGGTGAAGAGCATATCAGAGCTTAAATTTTGAGTATTTGGTTTGTGAAAGTCTGAGATTGTAATGTTGTTGCTGGTAAGTGCTGTCGAGTCGGTTCCGACTCATAGTGACCCTGTATAGGGTCTGGTGAGTTTGAAATGCTGATCTTGCAGTTCAAACTGACCTTTTGGTTCAGTGCTGTATCCCACAGCACCACAATGGGAGCCCTAAATTTATTTGTGTTTTGACATAAATTCAGCTTCTGTTAAGTTCTTTCTGACCACTAATGGGCAATGTAGAAAGCTTTGCCCTAAGCAGAGTATACTTGAAAATAGATTTACTACCACTCCCTTAGCCAGCCCAGAGAGGGGCAGTCAGTCTCCCACTAGATTTGTCTGGATGTGACCCTAATAGAAATTGGGGTACCAGGGTCATATGGTTACAATCATACTCAACCAACATGGTTAGAGGGCCCCAGAACCAATTCTGTAAGCTTTTCTAATCTGCGATAGTATATGTATCCCAATCATGGTCTCCCTTTCCTGTGTCTGTATTCCCACCTGGGACAGTGATAAATACATCCGCTACTCATCATGATTTTGTGGTGAATTTCTTTTGCTTTCCATCTTCTATAAACAGCCTTACATGTTGTTGTGCTGCTTTGTAAACTATGCTACCGGAGTTTCAAATGCCTGCATGGCCTCTGGTGGTGGACAGGTTTCAGCAGAACTTACAGACTAAGAACAGACTAGAAAGAAGGCATAGGCAGTCCACTTCTCAGGGATCAGCCCCTGAGAACTTTATGTATAACAGTGAAACATTGTCTGGTGTAGTGCTGGAAGAGGAGTCCCTCAGGTTGGAATGTCTAAAGAGCTGCCTGCTCAAAGTTGAGTTGACCTTAATGACGTGGATTAAACATCATCATTAAGCTTTCAGAATCTTCTTTTGCTCATGGGGCACAACTCAAAATGAGAAGAAATAACTGCAAGCATTCATTAGTAATTGGGAAGTGGAATGTATTAAGTTTAAATCCAGGAAAATTGGAAGTTGCCAAAATTAAATGGAACCCATAAAGATCAATATCCTAGGATTGCTGCTTCTTACCATCAAGTCAGTTCTGACTTTTAGTCACCCTGTATAGGGTTTCCGAGGCTGTCAATCTTTACGAGAACAGAAAGCTTTATCTTTCTCCAGCACTGTGGCTGGTAGGTTAGAACTTCTGTTCTATCTATTGAATTGATTTCAACTCATTCCAACCTGTTGAGGGTTTTTCAGGAGCAGCTGGTGGGTTTGAACCATCGACCTTGTGGTTCACAGTCCAATGCTTATTTTACAGCATCACACCAGGAATCCATTGGTTTGTTCTGCTGGGAATGATAAATTGAAGACAAATGGTGTCACATTCATTGTCCAAAAGAATGCACAGAGTCAATGTACCAAAAAGAACTGGTGGATGTTCAGCAATTTCAGAAGACTGATCAAGAACCATTTGGTCAAGAACTGGTGATATTATATGAAGAAGTTCATGATGCACTGAAGCCATTAACAAAAAACAAGGCTCCAGGAATGGACAGAATGCCAATTGAAATGTTTCAAGAAACGAACACAACACTGGAAGCATTCACTAATTTATTACAGGAAATTTGGAAGACCCGACAGAAGCGATGCATATTTATGTTCATTCCAAAGAAAGGTGACCCAACAGGATGTGGAGATTATCAAACAATATCATTTATCTCACACACAAGTAAAATTTTGCTGAAGATAATTTTTAAAAGGTTGTATCAGTACATCAACAGGGAGGTGCCAAAAATTCAAGCTGTATTCAGAAGAGGACATGGAATGAGAGATCTCATTGTTGACATCGGATGGATCTTGGTTGAAAGCAGAGAATACTAGCAAGGTGTTTACTTGTGCAAAGGCATTCAACTGTGTGGATCATAACAAACTATGGATAAAATTGTGAAGAATAGGAATTCTAAAACTCAGGCAATGAAAATCCTATGGATTACAACAGAATACTATCCAGTACGGTGCTAAGGATGAGTTCCCTAGGCTGGAAGGCACGAAATGCACAATGATTGTGACAATGGACTCAATCATACTGATGATGATGATGAAGATGGCAACATTTTGTTCTGTTGTACATGGAGTCACTGTGAGTCAGAGCCAACATGACAGCAATAACAACAATGGGGAGTTAAAGAATCTATATTTCAATAATCAGGTATGAGGACAACATAAGACAAAATGAAGCAGTTCGATGTTTGATGCTCTGAACAAGGTTGTTTGGTGAGTGACTAGAATTTTGTATTTTGTTGTGATGATGTAATTGATCAAAATGATTTTAAAAAGTCTCTTAACAAAGTTATTTCCTCCATTGGCATAATAGCTGCATCCTGGGAAATTCAGTGCATTTTAAACCTATGCAAAAATATGTTTATAAGTCAATGGAGTTGGTTCTAGTTTCAGGTTATTCTTAGAAGCTTTTTGCCTACACTGAGGCCAGACTGGACACTTGATAGGTAGGTGGGAGGTGGGACTGCTCTCTGGACCCCATTTTTGGCGAAAAGACTCTCTTTTCAATTGCAACATCAGCAATCCTGATTCCTGCCCTCTTCATTGCTGTGACTAGGGTGGAAGTTTGTGAATATTTGGGATGGGATTCAAGGTGAATGTGGGGGTTGGGGTGGGTCAAAGGTGGTGGTTGTGGAACTTCAAGGTAGGGATGAGGCTGAGAGTAGTAGTGGTGGTGGGACTTGGAGATGGAGCTTGGGGTGCCCCACAACTTTCCAGAAAGTCCAAGAGGCTGGAGACTCACTTGTACTTGGCTGCCACCTAGGCCGTTCACCCTGGAAACTGGTGATGACCTGCTCCAGATCTGTGGGTAGTTTTTCCCCCCAGGTCTAGCTGGATGCTATTGAAGTCCTCAGACTCAGATGCCCCTCTTCTTGGCTTTTGTGGAAAGCTCTTTTTAAGGGCAGGGGATCCATGGCCTCTCAGGGCACCATTCACTTGCAATAATAACTGTTGTTATTG